TCTAGCTGTCAAGTCAATATATTTTTTGTTCAGGGGGGTGGGTGGGGGAGGGTCTATTATACTACTTTTTCGTTTCGTGAAAATTATCGATATTATGCCGAATGGCCCCTTGATATACGCGGTCAAAACACAGTGATTTTAGGGAGCATCTCATAAGTTCGCATTTTGTTTCTAAACGTAACGCATTTCGAAACGGGGTAGGGGGGTAGCGCCCTTTTCGAATAGAAAAATGACTGTTCGCACATTTTCTGGAACTGTACAATCTACTACCGTGCTAGATCCCTGCAGCAAATGAGTGTGTTTAGCCGGTGGAGATCTACCTGTGTTTGCAGATCAGCTAACCCTTGCACTGCATGCACGCAGGCTACTCAGAGGTGTCAAATGTCACACCAGCCTGATCAAACCGTGTATGTACCTGGCCAGCGTTTACAGTACAGTTGTTGTGGAGGAACAATGTTTATGTGCGTGTACATGTCATTGATTGTGCTTGTACTCAGTAAATGCGGTACTACTGTATGCCATTCATGACCGCTCTAGCAAAACATTCATATCCATGTACATCTACATGTACAGTCAGACCTCTTTTATCCGGATCCCTCGCCATCCGGAAGAAAATATCTGGTTACACATTTACAGCATACGTGATGCATCCAACATAAACAGTGTTCGGTTATCCGGTTCCCTCGCCTATCCGGATATTTTTGTTTGAAACGGATGTGTGCGGTTAAGCGAGGTCTGACTGTACAATCATGTACATAAGCATACCATAGCATGGGGCATGGACGTGTACAGTAGATAAACAGAAAATGTGCGATAAGACTTTCGAATCGAGGGGGGAGGTAGGGGTAAAGTCTATTCGAAATGCGTTGCGTTTGCAAAATAAATGCGAACTTATGAGATGCTCCCTTAATTAATCAAGTTATGAATGCTAAAGCGAGAGTTTGTCTTATCTGGGTGTCAAGACAGAGATCAGCTTTGGCCATACTATCGTGCATTGGTTTTTGCGATACTAGCATTGGCATGGGACCCTAACATTGTTGGATCTTTTTCTAAAATTTGGTCAAAGCAAGTCACACAAATCTTGTGACTGCACGGCAGGGACACGAGGTAACTGTTTTCCCTGCCCCCCCCCCCCCCCCCTACTATTTTTGAACTAGCTAGAACTCTGTACCATGACTGCAAAATTAAAGAATTGGAAATGAAATGTTTCCCTTGATTACACTTCCAAGGCCCAAGTACATTGTGGAAATTACATGGCACCTGACTCATACTTCTCCCAACGGGCATATTCGGCTGAGAAATTCTTGGACAGGAATTCGTGGTACGATACGTCCACCAACTTTTGCTTTGAGGATCGTCTCATCCAATTGGAGAGGCGTGCACGGTTCTTCGAGAGAAATTCGTGGTACGATACGTCCACCAGCTTATGCTTTGGGGTTCGTCTCACCCAATTGGAGAGGCGTACGCGGCATATCGGGCAGGACACGTTAGGTTTTTCCACAATTTGGTTAAAACTAGTCATGCAAATCTTGTGACTGCACGGCAGAGACACGAGGTAACCGTTTTCCCTATTGGAGGAGCGTACACGGTTCTTCGAGAGAAATTCGTCGTAGGATACGTCCACCAACTTATGCTTTGGGGTTCGTCTCACCCAATTGGAGAGGCGTACACGGTTCTTCGAGAGAAATTCGTCGTAGGATACGTCCACCAACTTATGCTTTGGGGTTCGTCTCACCCAATTGGAGAGGCGTACACGGCATATCGGACACGGTACACGGTTCTTCGAGAGAAATTCGTTGTAGGATACGTCCACCAACTTGTGCTTTGGGGTTCGTCTCACCCAATTGGAGAGGCGCACACGGTTCTTCGAGAGAAATTCGTTGTAGGATACGTCCACCAACTTATGCTTTGGGGTTCGTCTCACCCAATTGGAGAGGCGTACACGGCATATCGGACACGGTACACGGTTCTTCGAGAGAAATTCGTTGTAGGATACGTCCACCAACTTGTGCTTTGGGGTTCGTCTCACCCAATTGGAGAGGCGTACACGGCATATCGGACACGGTACACGGTTCTTCAAGAGAAATTCATTGTAGGATACGTCCACCAACCTGTGCTTTGGGGTTCGTCTCACCCAATTGGAGAGGCGTACATGGTTCTTCGAGAGAAATTCGTCGTAGGGTACGTCCACCAACTTATGCTTTGGGGTTCGTCTCACCCAATTGGAGAGGTGTACACGGCATATCGGACAGGACACTTTCGACTTTTCCACAATTTGGTTAAAACAAGTCACACAAATCTTATGGCTGCATGGCAGGCCTAGACACTGGTTTGTAAATGAACTCCCTGCACACCGGACACACGTGTTAACGTCGGTCCGAGTCCATGGCTAAGCTCATGATGATGGCTAAGAAAAGTCTGGATACAACAACAGCAGGAGTACAATGCCTTGAGGTAACAAGTACAAGTTAATTAAAAAAAATGGAAATGAAATGTTTCCCTTGATTACACTGCCAAGGCCCAAGTACATTGTGGAAATTACATGGCACCTGACTCATCCTTCTCCCAACGGGCATATTCGGCTGAGAAATTCTTGGACAGGAATTCGTGGTACGATACGTCCACCAACTGATGCTTTGGGGTTCGTCTCGCCCAATTGGAGAGGCGTACACGGCATATCGGACAGGACACTTTGGACTTTTCCACAATTTGGTTGAAACAAGTCATGCAAATCTTGTGACTGCACGGCAGGGACACGAGGTAACTGTTTTCCCTATTGGAGAGGCGCACACGGTTCTTCGAGAGAAATTTGTTGTAGGATATGTCCACCAACTTATGCTTTGGGGTTCGTCTCACCCAATTGGAGAGGTGTACACGGCATATCGGACAGGACACTTTCGACTTTTCCACAATTTGGTTAAAACAAGTCACACAAATCTTATGGCTGCATGGCAGGCCTAGACACTGGTTTGTAAATGAACTCCCTGCACACCGGACACACGTGTTAACGTCGGTCCGAGTCCATGGCTAAGCTCATGATGATGGCTAAGAAAAGTCTGGATACAACAACAGCAGGAGTACAATGCCTTGAGGTAACAAGTACAAGTTAATTAAAAAAAATGGAAATGAAATGTTTCCCTTGATTACACTGCCAAGGCCCAAGTACATTGTGGAAATTACATGGCACCTGACTCATCCTTCTCCCAACGGGCATATTCGGCTGAGAAATTCTTGGACAGGAATTCGTGGTACGATACGTCCACCAACTGATGCTTTGGGGTTCGTCTCGCCCAATTGGAGAGGCGTACACGGCATATCGGACAGGACACTTTGGACTTTTCCACAATTTGGTTGAAACAAGTCATGCAAATCTTGTGACTGCACGGCAGGGACACGAGGTAACTGTTTTCCCTATTGGAGAGGCGCACACGGTTCTTCGAGAGAAATTTGTTGTAGGATATGTCCACCAACTTATGCTTTGGGGTTCGTCTCACCCAATTGGAGAGGTGTACACGGCATATCGGACAGGACACTTTCGACTTTTCCACAATTTGGTTAAAACAAGTCACACAAATCTTATGGCTGCATGGCAGGCCTAGACACTGGTTTGTAAATGAACTCCCTGCACACCGGACACACGTGTTCTCCCGACGGACATATTCGGCCGAGAAATTCTTGGACAGGAATTCGTGGTAGGATACGTCCACCAACTTATGCTTTGGGGTTCGTCAATTGGAGAGGTGTACACGGCATATCGGACAGGACACTTTCGACTTTTCCACAATTTGGTTAAAACAAGTCACACAAATCTTATGGCTGCATGGCAGGCCTAGACACTGGTTTATAAATGAACTCCCTGCACACCAAACACATGTGCCTTGACTGCGAGTACAGATACCGGCGGAGATAAGCGTCGAGGGCCTGACGAAGGGCACTCACACGTGTAGGCAGGTCGTGAGCGGACAGACGCTGGCAAGCAGAGCAGTCTGACCAAGCATCTTGCCACGTAGCAAAGTCGGCCAATGATGCTGTCAAGAGCTGGGCAGGTCGCTCTACCGATAGCGTTTTCGGAGCTGATTCTGCGGAAGAGGCTACAGGATGATTTTGTAGACGAGGCGGTGGATTGTTGTGACAACATCTGTATGGCCTGCTGAAGCATTGCAGTCATCTGCTTATCTCTGGTTTCAGCAGCTTTCATTTGGGTTTCAAATAACTGCGCCAAAGCAGTAATTGCGGAAGACTCGGCGGCACCGTCCGCCGTGTTGACGAGGTCAAAAACAAAATATAACTACAGTGGCAGTTTCGACAAGGAAACGAACTCTACGATCCGTGCGAAACACAACCAGGTGCAAACACAGCGTTCCTAGTACGAGTAGAAACAAATTCACTGCGCCATGGTATGTTCACAGCCACCCAAAGACAAGTCGAGTAGGAGAACATTATTACTTTCAGAAATGGGAAATAACATTGCATAATAGAGAGGTTCCGGGGTACGATTTTCCGTGTCAAAATCCGTGTGGGCGCTACGGATTTTTTCCAGGAGTGCTCCATACGATTTTTCGGCACGGAGAATCCGTCTGGACTGGCTTTCACACGAACCATGTTTCGTATGGAGATTTTGCGTCATCGGGTGCAGAAAGATTTTTCGCGTACAAATTTGGTACGAGAAACATGGATTTTCCGCGGGAAGTTTTGATTTCGGTACTTCAAGTACAAATTTTCAAAATAAAAAGGCATAGCGCGGGAATGTGACGTGTTTGCGATCGTAACCTAGGCAATGACGGCAAACACATAAGTTCCGTACCCCGGAACTTTTCACTGCTCGAAAACGACGTATAAAAAATCCGTAGCGCCTCTACGGATTTTGGCACGAAAAATCGTACTCCGGAACCTCCCTATTGTATGCGACAATTGTTGCCTATGTCCTGATATTACAACGCGTACTAGATCCCAAATAGGTCAGCTTATAGGGCTTGAAAGTGATGACGTCAGAAGTCAAAATCTAACGACAAATAACGACCTTTGGATCAACTTGGGTTCAGTTTTTGTATGGTTCCATACACGTTTGGGTGGTTTTCCTTGGCAGCATAGTGACACCTCCACTGGTAGTGATTGGACTAGGCCCTCCCGGTCATGGACCCACACCTACCGGTGGATGTGTCGCTATGCTGCAAAGGAAAACCGCCCAACAAACGTGTATGGACCCATACAAAAACGGGACCTGAGTGGACCCCAAGGGTCGTTATTTGTCGTTAGATTTTGACTTCTGACGTCATCACTTTTCAAGCCCTATTGTGCGGATGGTAATTACAGTTGTGCTTGGTGAAATCCGACCCAAAGTGCACATTTGACGCCCTCAGCTTGCAAGGCCGCTGATGCCCTGGAGGTGGTATGAATGCTGCTGCTGGACGTACACATATACAAATACAGTGATAGTAACATGTTTTCATCCAAACAAGGTTTATCTAATACACGTACGGTGAGTGCGTTCGATGATGACTGCGAATCGATTCATGAATCGCCCCTGGCCATTCACATCACCCCATGTGAATAGGGTGAATGGATTCCGAATCGATTCCAGGGCTCATGACATGGAATCGAACAGCGAGATTCCGTTCACGAATCAATTCAAGTGCGTAATCGAACGCCAACACACTGACTGATGTAGCCGGAACTGGTCCAGGGTGTCAGTTTTGCACTTCGGGTCGTATTTCACTGAGCACCGCTGTACGAGTAAGTAGACTGTGCTCTGTGATGAACAAAGTCATTCAACTATGGGATATATGCATCAATGTCCCGCCGTTAGGTTTTGCGGGGCAAGTCCACTACAGTGGTCCCTTTATAACCCGGCACTGTGCTAAGGAAATTCTACTGGATTAGGGAGGGTGCTGGATTAGGGAGGGTGCTGGATTAGGGAGGGTGCTGGATTAGGGAGGGTGCTGGATTAGGGAGGGTGCTGGATTAGGGAGGGTGCTGGATTAGGGAGGGTGCTGGATTACCGAATCTGATTTTCTGCTGGAGTGTGCATTACGAGGACTTTTTGGTTACTGAAAATGGTGCTGGTTTATAAAGTGCCGGATTAAAGAGGGACGACTGTAAAACCGTACACACTGTCATACCAGCTCTGCATAAAAGGTCATGAACTGTGGAAGGTCATTCTCATAAATGTACTAGAACGGGTTGACCTGCCAAGTATGGCGTAACTTGCTCCGCAAAAAGGTGACGGCCATCTTAGATGCATACCTCCCATTCCAACAAAATACAGAACAGGCACAGTAACCAGAAAGGCAGAGTGGAGACAAGAATCTTACTTCAAAGTAGTAAGACTAGAACGAGTGCGCGCGCAGTCATACCCTAACCCCAGCACGACAATATTTCATCGATTTAATTAATCCTCGTTTTCTTGTGACTTTTGATGCAGGAACTAACGTCACGTTTTTTTTCTCCGTGTTTTGGGCTTATGGTGTATGACTGCGTGCGCACTCTTTCTAGTGTTGCTCACACAGTAAGGGGCCATCCATAAATTAATATTGAAGTTTTTTTCACGAAACGAAAATAATTTTGTTATGGGGTGGGAGGGGGTTGACTAATTTCGTTTCAGAAAACATTGATACATGCACATGGCCATAGCCTAGGAGCAGTGACACACTTGCGACTTTTGTTGTATAATTATGCATGTGTGTGTCAACATCCCTTTTATATCATGGGTGTATGTGTGTGTGGGGGTTTGGGTGTGCGCGCGTGTGTGTGTGGTGTGTGTGTGTGTGTGTGCATGTGTGCCTGCTAGCGTATGTGCGTGTATGCCTGCTGTGTGGGTGTGGATGCATGCGTGTGTGTGCGTGTGTGTGTGTGTGTGCGTGCGTGTGTGGGTGTGGATGTATGCATGCGTGTGGGTGTGTCTGTGCGTGTGTTTTCTTCACGTAGAAACCTATAAATGACACAGGTCCGCCAAAGTATGATTTCGGCGAGAACGCGTTCATCCAGCAGACACCGTTCCTTGGCAGCCTTGCTCCGGGACAATCTCTTCAGGTCAGTTTGGTGTAGTGCTGATGGTCGCTCATGCGGCAAGGGTGTAGGCGTAGGTGTGTGTGTGGGTGTTGGCATGTGTGTGTGGGTGTTGGTATGTGTGTCTGTGTGTGGGTGCGTGCGTGGGTGTTGGGTGGTGGTGGGGGGTCATCGTTGTGTTAGCATTGTTTGTTTGAGTGTGTCGAGGAGTGCTGATCATTCTGATATTATTCCATCCTGCATGTTTGTTGTTGGCCGCTAAGGCTGCGGGACTTCAACGAACCCTGGACTCGTTCTCAATACCTGTGTGTGTGTGTGTGTGTGTGTGTGTGTGTGTGTGTGTGTGTGTGTGTGTGTGTGTGTGTGTGTATGTGTGTGTGTATGTGTGTGCATGTGCACTTTTCACTTTTCAGAGCATCGAGTGTTCACTATACCGCACGCCGATTTACCGGCACAATGCGCATCCGACGGACTTCATCTTGATCAAGACCCACGATCAGTATGTTATGGAGCTTGTGTGTGTGTGTGTGTGTGTGTGTGTGTGTGTGTGTGTGTGTGTGTTTGCGGCGGTTACGGGTGCAGGATTTGGAGGGGGTTGGTGGGGGGGGGGGGGGGTGTGGCTAACTGCATGCATTCATCGATGTGTATGATGCCATATCTTACTTGGTCCGCGTCAGCAATATTGTCGCTTATCTTTCGACAATTTGAACTTAGACTTTGGACATGAACGCGTGCACTTGAAGTGATAAAACTTGGTACGATGGACGGTACGGTATAGAATGACAACTAGTTGTAAGGAATTTATTGTCCAAGGAAGGGTTCCTACTTTTTTCGGTCCTCTTCGTCGCTGCTCTCGACGCTGGTGACAAATATGTTTGCTCGGGTTCGACTCTCTTGCTTTTGCAAGCTCATCTCTCTTCCTCTCCGCTGCCTGGCTATTTTCTAAACAGAAGTCGATCGTGACGGTCGCCTTCTCTATAGGACTTCGCGTGGGCAGTACGACAGCCTGTGTGTTTCAAATCAGACGCCGTTCTTTGCAAGATTTATTTTGAACAACGACGACGACGCGTACAGTACTTGCAAATCTCCACGACGCGCTGGATACTCCGAGCGTTGAGTTGGAGATAAGGGAGCTGAGATCTCAGCTTGACGAGCGATCCCTGAGGTGAGCGATCTCGGCCGTTCAGCAAAATGGAGCTGATTCCGAGTAGCCGATTACTTTCTTGTGGCTTGCGCTGCTCTTGCCTGCACAGCGTAACAAGATAATCTATTTTGATTCGGCGCTGTATCAATCAGAATCACCCACCCGTCGCTCTCGAAATCCACTCGAACTGTACCTAGACCTTTCACGTACTAGTAAACTAACTTACTAACCAAAATTGGGATGAAATGGGCTGCCGAGTGAGCTTTGGCGCCATATAAACAAAGCTGAAAGATAAGCGACAATATCGCTGACGCGGACCAAGTACTTCTTATATTCCGCCGCTCTTTTGCCTACGGTATACCCTGCACGCGTTGAATGCAAACATGCACACAGACATGCTCACACACACACTCACACACACTTGTACTTACTTGTACTTGTACTTGTTGCTCACTGCCAAAACTGGTCACGTGGGTCTCCCCGGGAGAGGGGAGAGAGACTCAAAAGGAATCTTGGAAAGATGGCTCAATTGGCTATTGAACCGCCCAACGGCCGACACCCCCTGAAATCCCCAAAACTCTGGGTGGACTTGAAAATGATCCCACTTATGGGCTCACCACACCTCAGTAAGTGGGTGAGGACAAGGTGCAGAAAAAGGATTGACGGCATCAGGGTATCCGTCCCGGGATCCAACTGCAGTTACCCCTGCCCCCAGTGAAGGTAATACTTGCTACTAGTGTGGGTGGCTAAATCAGAATGAAACTGATATAAGCGTCACTAGCACCATTGATTACACAAGAGTTAATCTAGCCAGAAGCAGTCCATGGTTAACAGGTATGTATACTTCAAATAGAAAGTATATGAACCCTGAAACCAACAAAGGTGGCAGATACAACAATACACCATCATGCAGCCGAGCCTGTTGGCTCACACACACACACACTCACACTCACACGCACGCACAGACATTCGCCTTTGCCCGTGCGCTAATCACAATTAATCATGTTTGCCGATCACTGTTGTTGGTGCCCGTCCTTCTGCAATTGCTACTCTCCATGTGTGTCGGTTCACATCTTCACCATCAAGAAAATATCCTTTCTTGATCTCTGCTTACCTGTTGTTGCTGTTGCTGCTGTTGCTGTTGCTGCTGTTTCTGTTTCTGCTGCTGCTGTTGTTGTTATGTTCAGTTACTACCTGCGCGAGTACAATGGCCTGTTTATTATGGGACAGATCTGCCCTAAGGTCGAGGTACCCGGCCCGAATTCAAAACGGGCTGGGGAGCATGTGCGCGAGTTCCTGAAGGTATGGGACGAGATTTCTTGCGGCTCTGGAGACTCTGGAGGCTCTGTGGTCACTCCGCATTGCTAGTCCTTGTACTGGTGTGTGTGTGTGTGTGTGTGTGTGTGTGTGTGTGTGTGTGTGTGTGTGTGTGTGTGTGTGTGTGTGAGTCTCTCTCTCTTTCTCTCTCTTTCTCTCTCTCTCTCTCTCTCTCTCTCTCTCTCTCTCTCTCTCTCTCGTATAGTTTGAGTTACCCGTAGGCATTTCGAAGTTATCTTGACCACAGAGCCATGCTGTGTGTGTGTGTGCATGCATGTGTCATCTGACACAACAGTACTCTCTGGTGCCGGTCAACTGGGCTTCAGGCGAAGTACCTTCGAAATGTGTATGGCGCGGAGCCAACTGTTTAATGAAGTCATTCTCCTTGCCTCCTTACTGTGTATACTTGTCTCTTTGCTACGGCTGTTCTAGAATGACAGTTCTCTGTGTGTTCTTTGTGTGTTTGTTGTGTGGTCTGCTGGCATAGGTTTTCATCTTTCGACTTTTCCGTAACAGCACGGATAACCCTAGGCG